GAGGCTCCTGCAAGATCTCCATTAACTCGCACACCACCGCTGGAGAGGTGAGCGAGCTGTAGTCATTGCTACATAGGTGTATGTGTACGCACAAACTCCTATACAGATAATGTATAGCTTTGTGATTGTTGTTATCTTGGCTTGTTTTGTCCAGGTGGTGGAGAAGTTGATCAGAGGTCTGGCTATGGAGGACAGCAGGAACATGTTTGCACTCTTTGAACACAACAACACTATTGACAGAGCTGTGGAAAGCAGGGTTCTTGTGGCGGATGTTTTGGCTAAATTTGAAAGGTATGTTATACATGATCACAGGTTACTGCGTATTACATACTATATTTGATTATATTATTATAAATTCAGGGCTCTGTTACATAGGATAATTAACACCTGTTGAGTTACACCTGTTGATAATGACAAGAAAGCAAGTGACAGGTATGTGTCCTTCCCACCAGACTGGCTGGCAGTGAGGACGGTGAGGAAGACGGCCAATGGAAACTCTATTTTAAACTCTACTGCTTCCTGGATGTGGAGAGCATGCCTAAAGAAGGAGTGGAGTTTGCATTCATGTTTGAGCAGGTGTGTTTTACAGCTTGTGTTACTGAGAGTATTTTAAACCACATTTTGCAGTTGGTACTAATCATGATTTGCTGTTACTTCAGGCCCACGAGAGTTTGACCCGGGGCCACTTCCCGTCCCGAGAAGAGACCCTGCAGCACCTGGCCGCGCTACGGTTGCAGTTTCTATATGGAGATAAAGCACGAGTCACCTGGAGCCTGGAAAATGTCTACCCTGTAGGCCGCCTGCGCAGTCGCATCCTCCAGTTTACCAAGGTGGGCGGAGCCTCAGGGTCGGGCCAAACTCTGGAGCGTCGGAGGACTAGCTTCCTGGACGGGACCCTGCGTCGGGGGTTGAAGACGGGCTCGATGAAGAAGCAGCGCATGGAGGAGGAGCAGATGTTGGAGATGTGGATAAAAGAGGAGATGTCTGCCACCAGGACGAGCATCATGGAGAAGTGGTCCCGCCTCAAGGGTCTGGACCAGCATCAGGCCATGCTCAAATACATGACCATCATCAAGGAGTGGCCTGGATATGGATCCACACTTTTTGATGTTGAGGTAAGTTTATCAGATCTTTAATGTTGCCTGAAGAGATGCACTAATCCAACTTTAGCAGAAATAAAAACTGAGCTGTTGGATCAAATAAAATGTCACAGTAAATAATGTCACAAAGACACTGTATGTAATGTAAATCAGTCAGGTCTGATTGGCTTATGATCAGTATTAGCTTCGATACTGTTCCAGCAGATGTTTATGAGATCCTGTGTTTGTGTCTTTATAGTGCAAAGAAGGAGGCTTCCCTCATGATCTCTGGTTGAGTGTGAGCGCTGAAAATGTGTCTGTCTACAAGAGAGGAGAGCCAAAGCCTCTGGAGACCTTCCCATATGAGCACATCATTTTCTTTGGCGCTCCACAGCCCTGCACCTACAAGATCACTGTGGATGAGAGAGAAATGTTCTTTGAAACACCACAGGTACGTTATTTTTTCTGTAAATAATTCAATTGTGTAGGTTTGTAATAGGAAAATACGGTTGATATGCCTGAAAAAACTGACAAAACATTCACAAAAAAGGCAAAACTGGTGGTGGTACAGGTATAAACAAAAGCCAAAATAATCTAAAATCTTGATCACTTTGTAGAATTTTATTTACAACTAATGCAGTGACAAAACAGCTGATGCATTTTGCCTTGAACCCTTTATCAGAGCATATATCAAAGCAGTCCATTAGTTTTAAAGAAAATTCAACAAAGACATTGATTATTTTTCTTTTTCTAACACTGCTGCACCTTTTACCTGAATTTGCATATGCAAAACAAATTGTATACCCATGTTTGTCTTTGCTTCTCTCTTCTTTCTCTTCTCTGCTGACTGTGTGTTTGTACATTTCTCCAGGTCGGAGAGATCACAAAGATCATGAAAGCCTACATAAACATGATCGTGAAGAAGCGCTGCAGTGTGAAGTCTGTGTCCAGCTATGGAACCAGCTGGATCAGATGATTTGACTTGATAGGACACAAAATGTACTCAGCTACAGTTCACCCGACAGATAACAAGCAAGCATGGAGAAAAGATGCAAAAATGGCAACAGGATCGAAACACTTGTACAGACATTGTGTTTCAGAGCTTTTGACTAGCAACACAGACGAACTCCATCCAGAAAGATTGCTGTCTATAGAGATATAAGACACATGTCTTTACTGCTTGTGGCAAAAAAGTGGGAACATTCATGCATCTGCACCATTTTAAGCTTTACAGTTGTCCCGAGTGTTGCTTCCCTCCATGCAGTCTCCAAACATGTTACTCGCTCTCATTAAATACACTGGTCATTTCTCACATCTTACTTGAAATGTACTTCAGGTATCTTTTCATGGATTCTTTCTTTAAATATCCCGGAAACCCAGACAGAGCACTCTCTTGTTCCACTATAAAGGTCAGGTCAAAACAGACATTCATTCAGTATCTGAATTAGAACTTTTTCATTTCCAAAAGTGTAAATTTCTTTAAAATTAGTTAAAAATATGAGTTGCAGTGGCAAAAGTACCTTTTATTCAACTGTTACTTCTGATATTGCGCCCCATTGTTATGAATGTTCTCCTGAATGGAGATTCCCTCAGGTTAATGCGTAATATACCTGTCCCAGGGAGATTATCTTCCTCATCTTGCCTTATTTAAGTTTTTAGTTTAGTTATTCTGCACTAATAGATTCGGTGCAGATGCAGCCTTTCAGGAACACTATATACATTTTGATTGAGCGTTTTGGTCAGTGGTAGCTACAGCTTCCACTGGTGCATTTGCCTCTTTAAAAGTCAAATACAAGGAAATTTAATTGTGGAAATCCAATATGAATAACCACTGCATCAGTGGAGATGCAATGTCTAAAACCACTGCAGTCAAGTATTCTCAAAAGGCACCTATTACTAAAAAATCAAACTATTTGCGCTTCTATCCCAGAACAAGTACTTTGTGTTGAGCTGTTTTATTGTGTACTGAGTCGAGGGTTTGTCTTTGAAACTTTTTGTAGCTGAAACTGATGTTCAACAATGTGTTCTGAGAAACAGCACGTCTGTGTCTAAAGATTGTTTTACTGTGTTTTTTTCAGTGATGTCAAAGGCCATGTGAGGGTGGGGTATTTATTTATTGAAGTATCAAAGGATTGGAAGAATGTGCAGACTGAGTGAGGTGAACAGTGTGCTGGAAATGTGTTGATGCAGTTACCCCGGCACGTTTGTGCATTCAGGGTCGCTGAAATTTAAATTTCGAAATAGATAAGTTGTTAATAGCTTACTATTGATTTTATCCCTTTTGTCAGCATAAAATAACCTTGGTGTGTTGCCCTCAACCCCCAACGTGCTCAATTCCTTGTATTATCTTGCTAACCCGGAAGATGTGTTCGCTCCTTCACTATAAATGAACAAGAGTCAAGCCTATGCCAGTCAACTTACATTATAGTTCATGATATGAGTATGATCCAAACATAATGAGCTTAGTATTTACCTCACATTGCATCACTGTCTTCCATTGCTCTCCAATCGTACTCACTTAGGCGATCTGGTCAGCTGCTGGCGGCCACACCAGAGACTGATCTTGCCATTGACGATGACTGTACTTCTGAGATTTCTGATTGTTTTGAAGAAGAAAAATCAGAAAATGTTTTATATCAGAATTTAAAGATGCTTTAATAAATTATTGTATTTCAAAAGCTGTTTTGTGTTCATTATTATTATTGTTATTATTATAAAGTCTCGTATCCTGTCATATCTCTGAGGATAAAAATGGTATGTCCAGTAAATAAAGTAAAAATATGTCATAATAGACCTTTTTCACAGCACCCATTTTGACATGAAATAGTAGGGTAAATACAGGTGTTATGATACTAGGCTCTGATTAATTTAGTGTAGCATAGCCTTTCCACTTAACTTTTTTTATTAAAGTAAAATAATTTAGATTTATGTGGAGCATATTAAAGAAAAAAGATAAGAAGAAAGAAAATACTTCCGATCTCTGTTTTCCTTGTTTCATGGACAGGAACCTTCTATAAATCTTTTTTTTTTTGTTTGTTTGTTTTAAGTTGCAACAAATAACTTTATATTGTAAAAAATGTATTATGTATGTACTATGTTTTATAGATAATATGAGACAATTCATTTATAAGCTTCCCAATCAGTTATTAGTCCTGCTATTAACAAAGTCATTAATAAAAATGTCTCTATTTCTAGCTGTCAGCAAAAGTTGGTTATCTGAAATGAGAAATGGTATTTAACCATTAATAAAGGACTTTATTGTCAGTCTGAATGTAAAAGTCTGCAGTTGGATGTTAATAAATTAATTATAAATTAATTTTAGAGCAGATGCTGTGCTGCCTTTTTCCTAAGAGGAAATAGTCAAGCAGTCAAAGCAACGTGCGGTGCTGAAGGAGGATAAACAGCTAGAGTGTTTGCTCACAGCTTGGCAACCCAAAACTGGTTACTATTAATAAACCCATTAGGCTACGTTCCCACTGCAAGCTTTAGCATTCAAATTGTGATTTGTTGCTCAGTTCTTCTTTTGTTGTTGTTGTTTACATTATTTTTTAAATGAGTCAGATCCCAGTGTGAACACGGTGCTGAAGTCACCTGCCTGGCGCACGCAGATCCAGAGGGACATAAAAAGTCACATGAATTCTGATATGACAGTTCACAGTAAGGTCACATTGCAAGACCTGTATCTGATTTCAACCACGTATGAAAATAAGAACTGGAAAGATCAGATTTCATGTGAGGTGTGCTAAAAATCTGCAAATGAGTTGAAAAATCAGATTTGGTCCACTTTTGTGTGTGTGTGTGTGAACGCAGCCTTAGTCTCAGCATATACAAACTTAGAAAAAGTTTATATAGACAAACGCATAATAAACGATCAGACAGATGTTGAGCATTGTCGTGTTTGTCTCTGCAGATGTTTCGTGACGCCAGCGTCAGGAGTTCATGACGTCAGCCCTCGTAAACTGGAGGTCCACCCTTCAGTTTGTCTCCTCAGACCTCAGACACGTTAGTTTTGTTCCTCATTTCCATCCAGTCGATGTTTCCCACTCGTCTCACAATGGCCGACGTTTTTAGAGCCTCGGTGTTCGTGTTTGCGTTGGTTTTCTGCGGCGTTATTGTGACCACAGAGGCGCAGACTCCTTCTCCAGCTCCGGGTAAGTTTCTTTTTCTTTTTCTTTTTTTAAAAAGATTTTAGCTGTTGTGCTTTGTTTCATCCAGCCAGAGTCAAGTCAGGAGACTGTCACATGACAGCAGGCAAAATGGATTTTCACTAATCATAAGAACAAAACTAATCATCTCAAATCATAGTGATGACCCGCCCAATTGTGGACATTTGTTTTATTGTACAGAAAGAAAACTAGCCGGTTTTTCTTGCACTAAAGTGTGTCAGTCTGAATCACTGTGGACTTTGTTGTTGCAAGCACAGCCAATGATTTGCCACTGTGGGCAGAAAATTAAACCTCTAGTAACATTTCTTAATTTTTACTTCCTTCCTTTCCTGTAAGCCAATGTGTTGAACTGCTTGAACTTAAAGTATAACACACTGTAACTCTCCTTTGTTTCAGCTCCTTGTGCCCTGAAATCAAACACCAGCTGTGCTGACTGTCTGCAGAATGTGGCAGTAAGTCAACCAAACACAAGCACTATAACTGTCCTTAGCTTTGTTAGCCATGTATTACAGTAAATACCAAAGATGAAAGCTCACAGTGTTTGTTGCTGTCTTCGTTGCAGTGTTTGTGGTGCACACCAACCAAACAATGCATGGACTACCCAGTGGGGAACATCCTGCCCCCCAACAGTGTGTGTCCATTGAATGATGCACGGTGGGGGGTATGTTGGGGTAAGACTGGGCCCTTAGGCCTCAGATAACCAGTAATCAGGGTATAACCTGCAAGTCGTATTAACATTTGGGATGTGTGTGTGTGTGTGTGTGGGAGAGACTATATGGGGGAAAGTATTTGTTAAAAATTAAACAGAAACTGTTTTGATATTTAATTTATTGCTTGAGTCATTTTTAAAGCAAAAATACCAGTCTCTGGTTACATGTTCTCAATAGTTTATGAATAGGCATACTATGCTTCTGACTAATCGATTACTTTACTATATTACTTCACAGGACCATAACCAACTCCTATTTTGGTTCAAATGTCTTAGCCTACCAACCACCAAGTAGTTAACTTAAGCCCTTGTATATTTACTAGGATTTATAATATGATACACATCTTATCATTAAGTTCCTTTGATCTCCAGTAAACTTCCAGGTTCTGATCATCACCGTGTCAGTGCTGGCTGGCGTCCTCATCATTTCCATCCTTTTGTGTTGCTTCTGCTGCTGCAAGTGTGAACGAGCCGGGTAAGTGTAAACATAAGTCACATGATGTGTTGGCTGTGAAATCTGGTTCAACATGGAAGGAGGAGGACGGTGGGGGGTGGGTGGGTGTGGGTAAAACACAATGGGTTGTTCTTCTGCAAGGCCGGGCTGATACCGCCGTCTCCAAAAGCCTGCCAGGATTTGTAACTGCTGTTACAAATCACTGGAAAAGAATTCGTTATTTAAGCCTCTTCTGAAGACCAGTTAATGTAATAATGGGCTGAAAAGAAGAGTGATAGATTATTAGACTGATTAACTGTTACTCATACTGTATTAGGCTTTTACTCTCACTATTGTCATTTATATTGCAATGTAAGCCATTGACTGTGAAGCATGTTAATATAATTACATATTCTTATATTCCAGGAACAAGAGAGAGGATGCAAAGGTAGAGCGACAAAGCCGCATGAGGAAGGCCCGTCAGAAAGAGAGGTCAGTAACCAATTTAACTGTTCAGATACAAAATACAAACCACCAGCAGACACCAGGGTGTGTCCCTGTGGTCTGTACTATACTGTCAATGGTCTGTACTCATCAGTATGTAGATAAACACATTCATTATAAGTTTATATAAGATATAAGTTTCAAAAAGAGACAAATAAACCTTTTTTTCTCTTTCAAAAGTGGTGCAGATAGAAACTGTTTTTAGGTGGCAGCCACATTTTAACATTTCTCATTGGTCACCACCACCATAAACTATAGTAACAGCTGAAATAATGTTTTTTTGACATATACCATCAGCATATTACAGAAGTACTTTGTGTAAATCTTTAAGCCATGATTCAAACACTGTAGGTGTGAGTGGAGCCACTGTTTTCTGTTTCTGTTTTCTGTCTGACAATTTGTCTTTGTTTGTTCCCCAACAGGAGAACAGAAATGCAGCTGAGACATGATGAAATCAGGCAGAAATATGGTGAGACGCATTCGAGTGGGTTAATGAATGTAAATCTGGAATATCAAAGACTTTGTTTAAATTTTCAGTGACAGAACAGCTGAATAAAAACACAGGATAGGGGAAAGACGATAAATAAAATTAAATGAAGAAATAAATTTGGAAGGGAACAACATAAAAAGTGTCATAAACCAAGAAAAGAAAAGAAAAGTAAGCAACATTAAAACAACAAATTTGATTCAGTAGCGCCATCTACTGGAGAATACTGGACACACAATTAAATTCCAACATTTCTAAGTTATTTTTGGAAGAGGTTATTTGCATTAAATCCACAAATTCAAATGTCGATCTCTCCATTGTTCTTTTCAGGTCTGGCAAAGGATAACCCATACGCCCGTATGGACGATCGTTAAGAAGAATCTCAGCCATGATTCCTTTAAAAAAAAAAATCCCTTACTGATGCCTTATACATTGTCCAAATGTAGCACATGATAAACTGTGATTGTCTGCTCTGATTTCGGTGAGTTGGTGTTGTTGCCAAGATGCTCTGAAATCATTTTTGACCGGATGTGCACAACAAACATCTTCACATAATGTTTCATTTTTATACATGTTGCTCTCTACAGAAGCGTATTGCATTCACTTGTAAAAAAAAAAAACACAGAGAATTTTTTTTCCGGTTTTCAGAGTAATTTTTTCTGTTTTTCGTGGTAATTTTTCCCTCTCCATTTTCAGAGTAATTTTTTTTCTGAATTATCGAGATACTTCGAACTCCCGCGAGAACCTGCCATATCTGTCCAGCTGATCCTGGAGAAACAT